GGTAATGATGTGTGAGTTTATTCCAATGTTTTCTGTGTTAATTCCAATTTTTCTGTGTTAAAGATGTGTGTTTATTCCAATGTTTTCTGTGTCAACGATGTGTGTTTATTCCAATGTTTTCTGTGTTAACGACGTGTGTTTATTCTAATGTTTTCTGTGTTCCTTCTGAAGGCAAGTATACCTGTTGAGACCACTTGTTTTTGTTTTATGTGATCGACATACCTGTTCATCTTACAAGTTTTTCATGAAAGCATGTTTTTTAGTATGTAATAATTTTTTCTTTACTTAGGTTATCAGTTTTGTTTCCAAAATACTATAATAAATTGCATATTTAGAAGATAACAATTTCCTCCCACATGGTTCAGTTAACATTACACTTGGCTTTTGTTCAGTTAACGTTATTAAGATGCATTTGTTTTCAGGGATGTTGATGGAGTTCTGAAACGGGCAAATGGTACAGAGTTCGGACTGGCATCAGGGGTTTTCACACGAGACATAAGTAAAGCACTGTATGTCAGCGAGCGTATCGAGGCTGGAACCTGCTTTGTCAATTGCTATAATAAAACTGACGTTGCTGCACCATTTGGAGGCTTTAAACAGTCGGGATTTGGGAAGGACTTAGGTATGGAGTCCACAATAAATGGTTCAGAAGCTTTTCCAAAAGTATTTAGACATTGATAATAAAATACACTTGACAATTTTTAAAGTATTATCCGTTCGTTTTAAACAACATGTTATGCATTGCTTTTTATTTATTATATCAAATTAAATTATTTTTCATAACTTAGGAAAATCTCGCACTATAAGTTGGTTTTGTTGGGTTTAAAAATAGGTTTAGTGTAATGTAGGAATAATTACTTTGTTGGATCACAAAGGAAAAGATATCAGTTCGTCCTAAGTTGATAATACTATGTTAGACTAAGAAACAGCTGCACCTTTTAAGTTACTAAGTATAGAAAAGGAGTCCAGAAGTTTCTTTAGTCTAGCTTAAGATAACTCAATGAGGACACAAACAGATCTAGTGACATTAAGTTCCTTTTTAATTTACCAAAAGCGAAAGAATAGGAACTTAATGTCACTAGATCTGTTTGTGCCCTCATTGAGTTATCTTAAGCTATACTAAAGAAACTTCTGGACTTTTTAATTTACCAAAAGCGAAAGAATAGGAACTTAATGTCACTAGATCTGTTTGTGTCCTCATTGAGTTATCTTAAGCTAGACTAAAGAAACTTCTGGACTTTTTAATTTACCAAAAGCGAAACAATAGGAACTTAATGTCACTAGATCAGTTTGTGTTCTCAGTAGATAATCCTGTGCTGGACCAAGAAACTCCTGGACTTTGTTTGTACCTGTACACTTGAAAGAAAAGTATTTAACTGTAGTTTGGAAAGATAGATGTGTTAGATCGTGATTTGGTTGTACTTGTAGATCAAAAAGATAAATTTGGTGGTTCAGCAGTTCATTAGTGTTCTATTCATGTGAAAAATAAAGTTATTAACATTTTTTTCAAACCTTTTAATGTTTTATTTACATTTGTTAAAGTTTTTCTTCTTCTTTTTTTTTACTAGGAGAAGAAGCTTTGAATGAGTATCTTAAGACCAAATGTATAACGATTGAATATTAAATCTTGGACTTTAGGTAGGTGAGGTTAATACATTGTTATTATAAGACCAGATGTATAAAGATTGAATATTAAGTCTTGGACTTCAGGTAGGTGAGGTTAATACATTGTTATCTTAAGACCAAATGTATAACGATTGAATATTAAGTCTTGGACTTCAGGTATGTGAGGTTAATACATTGTTATCTTAAGACCAAATGTATAACAATTGAATATTAAGTCTTGGACTTCAGGTAGGTGAGGTTAATACACTGTTATTATAAGACCAAATGTATAAAGATTGAATATTAAGTCTTGGACTTCAGGTAGGTGAGGTTAATACATTGTTATCTTAAGACCAAATGTATAACGATTGAATATTAAGTCTTGGACTTCAGGTATGTGAGGTTAATACATTGTTATTATAAGACCAAATGTATAACAATTGAATATTAAGTCTTGGACTTCAGGTAGGTGAGGTTAATATATTGTTATCATATCAGAAAGATGCCGATTTGATCTTTGTGTGTGCAGTTTTAAAAAAAAATGTGCTGCCAACAAAATTATTCCAGTTTTAGTTTTATGATTTAGAAATAAATGTTAGTGTACAGCTCAGGAAAATTGTTTTAAAGAAATAAAAATTAATAGTAAATAAAATCCATTAATTAATTTTTCATTTATTTGATTTTTTTCAGCTATAATTGATTTGCAACACTTGAAAAATATGAAAAGAGGTCAGATAAACCTTCCAGGAAGGACACGTCCGAAAACTTTTTCAGTATGGATCCAGTGGTCTAAACTCCTTTCTCATCTTGGATTTGAAAAAAAAAGTTTCTTTGTTTTTAAGTTTGTTTTTTTTATAAATAACAGACATTGAAACATTCATGATGGCAAACTAATAGGGGCAGAAACTTGGGTTTTAAAGGATTTTGAGCTTTTACCGTACAGTCTGTTACTTTCACGGTTTTAACCAGCCAATGATTTTTATGCTCAGTTACATTTTACTGTTCGTCAAAGATGTTTTAATTTTTTGTTTAACCATACTTCAGTCTATAGAGTTGCACGTGGTATCCTAATGATCATCTTAATCATAAAAATTTTGTTGATCTAAACGTAAGAGTTCAAAACACTGGAGTTCATGTTAGCAAAAAAAAAAGAAAATTAAGATAGCTGATATCTTTAAATTTATCAAAACTAATGTTCTGTAGAATAACAACCTAAAAATTGGACGTTATACTGAAATTAGAAGCTTGGGTTAGTGTAAAAGTAACTTTATATAGCTGAGCTTAGAGTAATTATACCCTTACACTGTCACTCCTCCGTTAGTTAAACAAAAATGTTCTTTGTTGAAACTTAGAAGTGTTATAACTTCAGATCTGTAGCGAATAGAAACAACTACCATAAATTTGCTAAAAATATGAGCAAGTTTCTGAATAAGCCTTTATTTTTGTTTTTTGAATACATCAGTGGATAGAACAAGAATGTTTTACACTCTTCAAATATTATAAGATTGAACTACCCAAACTTCAGTACATATAAACTAACCCCAGATTAGTGCCTCGAGTGAAATATACTAAATAATCTTGGGATTTTTTTTGTTGTATCAAGTCAGTGTCATGGTTTTGATATAATATTTTTTCAGCTAGTGGATGAAAGACAATACAAGTTTTCTAAGAATACGTTCTATTTTATGGATTCAGTATTTGGGCAGCTTGTGCCTAGTTGTTGGGGTGTTATTATAAAGTAAAGGTTTTTGTAGTTACCTTTTTTTATTCTCGTTGATGTGTTTATATATACAGCTGTTACCTTTTGATCTTCACTAACGTAAAATGGTCACTTTCCTTTTATAATTACAGTAAACAGTTTGGACATTTCCATTTAAATATTGATAAAAGGAGCCCACACTGTAGTGTTGATCACACCCGTTACTGTCATTAGAAGGTTATGCTTCTAAGTTGATTACTATTTGATCAGTTCATATTATAACAAAGTTGGATATTTGTCTGTTTATATAAACATATGTTTATATTAAAACTATTCAAATCACCACTGGGTTTGAGTTATCTTTTTTGGTTGTTTTTTTTTAAGGTTAACCAAAAGACCAAAATTAAAACATTCAAAGCTGTGAACCACAAATAAACAGTGCCAAGAGCAGAATATTTACACGTTACTCACAGTCAAGTACAAAGTGGTTGGACACCAGGTGGATGACAGAAAGCAAGCCTTCATCTGTATATGAACCACAAATAAAGAGTGCCAAGAACAGAATATTTACATGTTACTCACAGTCAAGTACAAAGTGGTTGGACACCAGGTGGATGACAGAAAGCAAGCCTTCGTCTGTATATGAACCACAAATAAAGAGTGCCAAGAACAGAATATTTACATGTTACTCACAGTCAAGTACAAAGTG